CCAAGTCGATCTCTATCATGCGCCACAATGCCCGACAAATGATAATAAGAATGTCACCTATGTCTTTATCTTTTCCCAGCCACATTAGCTCTAATGCTAATTTATACCTAATTCAAACTTTCTTTTAGTATTACAACGAGGAAAACTCCACCTGCCATACGGTATACATAACAGCTGGATTTATATCAAAATAATTCCTTATCTTATAGATATAGTCAAACGCGCATCTGAGAAAAAAATGGGATCACAGTTCTAGATATATTAACTTTTGCTGGTAATCATTAGGGAAATTACCAGGAATATCCCGACATAAAAGAAGAGAGTTTATAGAGAATGAAACAAAGGAAGATGCAAAAACAGAGAATGAAACACTAAAAAAACTAACAGTACTCAACTGCACACAAATAAAATTTAACACAAAACATTTAATCACGCACTCTAGTGATGCTCTAGTTACGAAAGTTCATCTAAGTAGAGACGGATAATTTGTGGCGCTAAGAAATGGAAATTATACAGATGTCTTAATGTATTTGTCTTCATGAAGATTCGTACGAGAGCAAAGCCCTAAAAAAAATTGACATTACAGCCGACAGTTTGTTTGCGCACTTTAAATCGATAAACACATACTGAGGAAGCCGATATGTGATTATTTTTAAGAAAGTAAAGCTTACGTGATCGTGGTTTTTTTGGTGGTCTAAAGACAAAATCATTATCTGCCGTTGTGATCAGATCGTAACCTACGACGGAGACGCAAAGCGACTGAAAAACGATGGCGATGACAAATTTAACGGGAGCTGGAACACAGATGAAGACATCTTTAGGCAAGCGATGCTCTCCCCCTATGGAAGATGGATTACGAGATCAATCAATAACTCTCTCAGTGGTCGGAATTTTCTTCATCTTGACAGCATTCCTTGGGAATACTCTTATCCTTGTTTCCCTTCGAAGAGTTTCTTCCCTTCATCCGCCGTCCAAACTCTTGTATCGCACTCTGGCCACAACTGATCTATTGGTTGGCGTTCTTAGCCAGCCTCTCTATGTTAGCTACTGGATGTCCATAGCTTACGAACATTGGAGTCTCTGTTCATACCTTATATATGCTCTCTTCACAGCAAGCTATTCATTTTGCACAGTATCTCTGTCGACGATGACAGCCATAAGCGTGGACAGACTTCTCGCTCTGTTATTAGGGCTGAGATATAGACATGTTGTAACTTTGAAGCGCACGTATGTCGTTGTGACTACATTTTGGGTTCTATCCATTTTCGTTGGTTTATGCCTCATTTTAGAACACAATATAACCTTTTGGTTTGGTCGTATCTATGAACCATCTTGCCTTGTAATTACAATTGCTTCGTACGCAAAGATTTTTCATGCTCTCAGTCATCATCAGAATCAAGTGCTCGATCAATTAGGCCAACCAAATTCACTGAACATGGCGCGATACAAAAAGGCGGTGTACAGCGCTCTGTGGGTGCAGTTAGCGTTAGTTGCTTGTTATGCGCCATATAGTATACTGGAAATTATGATTCTCTTTATTAAAACATACCCACCGTATGTACTTGTCATATGGGAAATAACAGTTATCGTCGTTTTCTTTAATTCGACGTTAAATCCGCTTATATACTGCTGGAAGATAAAAGAAGTGAGACAAGCGGTAAAGAAGACAATTAGAAATGCACTTTGCTCTCAATGAATTCGTAAATCGTGATAGTTGAATATCTATTGATGCTTTGATAGACAATTCATAAAAAATACGATCGCTAGAAGGGAAGGAAAGGTGGAGAAAAAATCATTAACTTTTATTAGCATCCATATCATTTAGAAAGACATTCCTGAGTTATGAATGCATAAGGTTTTTAGAAGAGAAGGAAGGGACATATGCTTGTCGTTCGATAAGAACAAAGAGTCAACAGATCGTGCACAAGCCATAAAATTTCGGTCATGAAAACTTTATTTATGCGAATCACCAGAGGAACATCAGAAGGTCAGGGAACGATGTCTCAGTAATTATGTGTTTGTTTCTTGCATGCACACATACAACAAAAAAACATTACCCATAATAAAAAAAATTCTCTCCGTAGAAAGGTTCGCTGTTTAATTTTGTTTAACTTTGTTTGAAATGACAAAGTTAACGAAAAATGAAAATTTNTCCCTCAGTCTTAAATGAAGTACCAAACGACAGCTTTGTAACCGTGGTCTTCATGACGTTCTCGTCATACTCAGAAAATAGCAAAACATGGCAGAAGAAAGGTAACTACGTAGAAATATCAGACGTTTAAACCTGATTATTTGATACATCAAAAAGATCGCTCATCTGTAATATACTTTATGTTTTCATAGTGGTGGATCTAGCTGGTGGGGAACATGGAGCTCTGCCACAGAATTGTTATCGACCGTTCGAAACAAGGTACGTTCGTTTCGTATTAAATTTGTTTGAGACGTTTTTTTTCGAAATTGGGACGGTTTATCGTTGTGTTCCCCTCACAATGATAACGGCTTTAAAGAATTATTTATCTTCAATGAGCAGAGCTTACACTTCATGAATTCCGTTGAGAATGTGTTCACCATGGCTGAACTGAGTTCAACATGGTAGATGTATACTGGCAAGTAAAGAGTGTAAAATTTGAGATGTTCGTTGTTCTATCTTAAACAGTTGATTTGTTCAGACAATGATTCAATCTAAAGAGATGAAAGATATTTACTTATTAAGTGAATGCTATTGAATCACCAGCTCTTGCTTTTTTTATTTCTTCACCAGTCTGCAGAGGCTATGACAATGGTGAAACAAGATCTAACTGAGTTTGTTAACACTGTTCAGCATGACACATCAGCTGTGGTAGCTGATACAGCTAATGCTGTCAAAGAAAGCCTCAAGGTATTTGCATAGTAAATAACTCTTTACATTCATGTCAACAGGTGTACTGGTTAGTGGAGGGGGTAATTTGGCTGAAAGAGTTTTGTGCCCCAAACTGCATATAGTTTTTGGGATCTTGATCTTTTAACATGGTATACAATTTCACTATTTAGCCATGTAGATGGAGTGTTTTTCTAGACAAGTTGTCTAAAGTTGGCTGTGAACCTGGGTGATGGGCAGTCCATATGTGTGACAGTCTCATTTTGGAATGTAATGGGTATTATTTTGTGTGAACATTCTAAATGTGGTTAGATTTCACCAGGGAAACAAAAAGACATCTCCAATGGGAATGACCATAATGTAAGTCCTTTGCCCAAGAGAGAGGGAAAGTATGGTCTAGAAAAGGTTTATCTCAATCAGACTTTTTCCTCAGGAGTTTGAAAATAACTGCCATTTTGTCTAGTTTGCTTTGTATTAGCGACAAGAGCGCTTCGAAGTTGCCCATTTTTACAACTTTCCTGGTTAGAAAAACGCCATCTTGGATATTACGTCATTGTGACTTAGCAATAGTCAAACTTAGTTTGCCACTTTGTTCTTGTTGACTAGTTTGACCTTTTGTGAAAACAATTTCTAATACTCCCAATAGTTGAAATGAGCTGAACTGTCCTGTTTTTGAATGTCAAAATATATACTAAAATTCAAAAGGAAAAGGTGTAAGCTTCTACAAGCTACTGGAAACTGAAATATTAAAAAAAAGTTAGCCGGCAAAAATGACCCGCGACGACAGCTTGCTGAACCCTGTAAAACCTCAGAACTTCCAAAATGAAGACTTCCAGCGAGATATACAAGCATGTAAGTTTTCCTTGTTGACCTTTGCTTCGAACTGAAAGCTATGCTTACCTTTTCCATATTCATCACAGCTCTCAACTATTTATTCTATGAGTTTTTTCAAACCATTTTATTGTAAGCGAATAAATTGAAGCTTGTAATGATGGTACACCGTGTGTGGTAAATTTTCAATCACCACCCTTGACCAAAGCCGATTTACAACATCATGTGCTTTTCCAAGCGGTGTACAAATGTATCTTGTATTTCCTAAGTCTGTTATGAGTCCATCGAGTAAATTTTCTTTAGCCGAACACTCACATTCTCCTGCGGAGAAAAAAACTACATGACATTTAATAAATTGCTAGCAAATTATCAAGACAAACATGTTTCCGACTAGTACAAATTATCCTCCGTCAGGCAGGCGCCCATATTTCACTATATCATATTGAGACTCTGGGTCAGATGGCCCGGGTTCAAGTCCTGGCTGGAGCTTAATGTTGTGTCCTTAAGCAAAATGCTTCACTCACATTGCTTCTTCTTCTCGGAAAGGACGTAAAGCCAGAGGTCCCATCTCCTGCACCTATCAATCAGTTAATTTTGGCAGGGGAAGTTAAAGAACCCACATCACGAGATTACTGTGATGTGGTCTGGCCTGTTTACTGGGAATGGGGGGAGGGGGGCATCTGTAAACTTTCTCCTCTATTAATTGTAAAACTGCCACTGGCAGTTTGGAAAAGTCCCCTGCACAGTGTTGTAAAGGGCGTTACAGCATTTACATGGAAATGCGCTATAGAAATGGATCTATATTATTATTATTATTATTATTATTGATAAAAATAATATGAAAATATTTATGTCTTTGAACCAACTACTTGATGTAATTATGCAGTGCTTATGCTTTCAAAAGAAATCGAAAGTTTCATTTTAGCTTCAATTATATTGAGGTAATTTATAATGTAAACAGTGTACGACAGAGGTGATTTTCTGGCGCGCGTCGGAAATAACAAAGCTCTACTTCTCACAAGTCGCGACATTTCAAACATTTTAGAATGAAAAATACTGCGTTGAAGCTAATTCTAAGCAATAAAGTTGAAAAACAACTTTGTAATTTAAAGGTAAATGCTGAGATAAACAAAATTTAATTCGTAACAATTAACTTCTGCCTTTTGTCAGCGTTAATTTTGGCAGCTAAGTGTTTGAAATCAATTTTGTCGGTGTTTACGCATATGGAGAATGATTTTCAAGTCTGTCATTAATTTTCTAACTTGTTGCATGCTAACTGGGGCTGATCTTAGTTCCAAATTGCTTGTGTTCCGTTATACACCAAAGCTGGGTTCCTGTAACTGCAAAAATAGTTCATCTCATTCCGAGGTAGCAGTGTAAAATGAATTTGTAGCGGGCACTGCGGTCTTCTTTAGCAAAGTATTAACTATCACTCCACAGCTAGGATTTGTTTGAGGAAAAAACCCTTGCCTTTCGAATTGAGTCGGTGTCCAAGTACATTTAATTCTTAGGAGGATACATTCTTGTTTTTCGAAGGTTTCTCTTGACAGTTGCCGCAAGAGAACCACTTGCGATTTCCAAGATATGAGCGACTGAGCGGGTTGACGTTTCTTCTTGAAATTCATTTTCTTGTCTTTGTCTTGGTCTTTCTCCCCAACAGAAGTATCTCCTTCCCCTGAAGATGAGCCATGTTTCGTTTGAAACATAAATGGATGTACTACATCCTCTCACTAGATTAAAATCCAAGTTGAGAATTCAATAGGCAGCGCCCTCATCACCTTACTTTTCCTTGTTTGCATCCACTTCAGCAAGGGATATAATTTAGCATGTTTGACTATGGCTATGTCATAACAAAGATGGCAGATTTCAATTTGAAAATGCCGATTTTTGGAACATAATTGTTTGCAACTAAAATGCTTTTAGCTCAAATGAATAGCCAGTTAGGACAATTTAAGCAAGGAACTTTTGATCTACGTAAACTTTTTCTAGACCATACTTTCCCTTTAAGTGACAAATCACTAAGGGATGAGTTATTCAAAGTAGTGGACAAACACACACACACACACACACACACACACACACACTCAAAAACCAATGTTGAGAGGTTTTTTTATCATTTAATGTTTCTATTTCTACACAATAATTAGGTAGATGAAGAGGAAGAGCAAGATGGCACTTCAGCTCGTCTAAAACAAGGTACGAATTATAAATTAAATATGTTACTGCTCATTTAAGTAGTAGAGGAATTGTGTTGTCTTGACATGCTTTCATCTTAACACATGTACTGACCAATTAGAGTGTCTCAAGGAATTAACTAAAGTATTTTTGAGAATAATTTACAATTTTTCACCAAAGTGGAGGTCACTATTAAAATGAATAATTTTTTTAGTCTATTCCACACAGAAACCAAACAACTAGTTTATTTCTGTCGATATACAGTTTTCTCTCTTATTTAATCGTGACAGCTAATAGAAATTTTTAAACTTGTGGAGCAATCCTTCTACTTGTTGTGGTAAGGTGTACTTCAGGCTGTAATTTTACCAGTTTCCGCCTGAAAAGAAGATCACTGATATACTGAAAAATGGGTGTGACCCTCAGTTTTCTCTCTTTGGTTGCTTGGAGGTGAATAGTGCTTGTTAAGCACTTCCAAACCAGGCAATCAGTGTGGTATATACTTCAAATGTTGATTACTCTTTAACATGACTGCTATGACATTGATTTGAGTCCTCTCACCCTCCAGGTGTGTCTAAATTTCTTGGGTCCTTGTCCACCAGCTTAAGAGATAACATCTCTCAAGTAGCCATTGCAGCGGCAGCAGTCACTTCAGATGGTCCTGAGCCAGTTTTTGACAAGAAGCAGGTACAGTAAGTTTATATTTGAAATATTTTCTAAGAGTGAAATCATATCATGTGCATGTCAGATTTTATCTCTTGGCTCATTATTATCAATTTATTTTAAAAGGCACGCCTTCTTGAAATTCAAACAGACCCAGCCACATTTTGCTCAGAACCAGATGGTAGGTACTGGAGAGGCTCTGATTATTTCTAATAAAACCTTTGTGTTCATTAAAGAAATTTGTGCAAGAAGAGCATTTTATAGAATCTGTCCAACCTGTCTATATGAACAAACATAAATTTGCCAGGTACCGGTGGTATATAAAATGGTTCAACTTTTTCCCGAACTCTTTAAACTTCAAGAGAACCTTTAAATTAAACTTTAATATTCACTTTTAATTACTTAGTACACAGTAGAACCAAAGTTATTTGGAAAAGTGCATGGCCTCTAAACATTAAATGCTCATTATGAGCAAGCTTTAAATTGGAAAAACAAAAGACAACAAACAAGCAAAAAACCTATGAAACAAAATTACAAGTTCTCTGTTCCAGGATTTGAACCTTAGTTGGGACTGTTTTTGTGTGGTTGGATGTTTTACTTACTGAGCTGCAAGAAACTTGTGTGCTAAGTAGTTTATTCAAATTTCTAAGTTTTTCATGTCACAACTCATCACAAGGTTTATTTACTTGATTTTTTAAAATTACAGCCATCAAAGACTCTTAATGTATGTTCTCTAAAATCTTGATTTACTCAAGTGTGCAGCTGAAACAATTGTATCATTATTTCATCAGGCCATCTAGGGATGTTTGAAGAATGGTGTAAAACATTTGATCCCGAGGAACACAAAGGAGAAATCTCTGAGCTGCTCGTCAATGTCCCAGAGATCAGGGCACTTTATGCTAAGTTGGTAGGTGATAGTTTTTTAGATGGAGCTTTTCTGAAAATGTAAATGATGAATAAACAAATGAATAATTGAGTGAATAAAAATAAAATAAATAAATGGGTACAAAAATGAATAATTAAATAAGTGGACAAACAGATCAGTAAATATATAGATAAATTAGTAGTGTAAAAGCCCGCGTATAAGCTGCACTTTTTTCCCCAAAATTTGTCATTAGAAATTGGGGGTGGGGCTTATCTGCGGGAACATTTGAAAAAGGTGTTGTGAATGACAGTGCCAATTTCCATTTTTGCGTCTGATGTAATGCCTGGTTACTAAGCTTCAAATGTTCTGCTCACTTTCTTGTTGTAATGCAAAAATCTATAGAAAAACAACCTTCAGAAGAAATTTTCTTCTCTAGGTGCCAAGTGCTGTCACCCATGTTCTTTTTTGGCAAAGGTATTTTTACAGAGTACATCAACTTCAGCAGGTATGGTTCTCACTGTTTAATTTTATGTTCACTTTTTATTTTCTGCTTACACATGTACAAAAAAAAATTACATCAGTGTACAGAAATTTAAAAGAATAATTATAATGATATTATTTTATAACAGTTTAGAATCAAACTAGATAAAATGAAAATTTGGAGTTATCTAGTTATAATGTGGTGATGAAACCCAGTAAAAGCTGGAAGCTAATAAAACTTGTGTCCCCCACAGGACATTAAAGATAGAGTAGCTTAACTACTGATGGGAAAGTTTAATTAAGTTTATTTAAATCTCAAGATGTTACCTTATACTAGTGTTATACAACACATGTAACATTCCCCCCCCCCTTTTTTTTAATTTTTTTTTAAATAAGACATTTCCAAAAAAATAAGAGGTTTAAACATATGCTCTTGGAATAGAAATTGGTTCAATCTTTTATTAAGCATCACTGGCTGGTGAATTCTGTGACTTATTGCTATACCACAGTTTGGTCTCACCTTGAAACTGGAATGGCAAACTTTTATGCTTGCTTGTTCTCAAAGTGGTGAGATAGATTTTGTCTGGGTTTTTCACACGCCAAAGCTCTTACAGTCAATGCTTTTGTGTGCTGTCAACACCAGAAACATGCATTGTCCATAACCATTTTACTGTCGATATCTAAAAATTAATTTGATATTCTGTCTGTTGTGCAGGTTGTTTAATTGGTAGCTCTAACTATTTGGTTTTATATCGAATGACTTTGCTTTTTCTATATTTTTGTTCCTTCTCAACACCTTTTTGCCTAGAATTGTAGTGATTTTGTAAGGTGAAATTCCTAACTGTACTGTCAGAACAGATTAACAACAAGTGCAATGTTCAACAGGAAGAAAAGAAGAGAGCTGCACTTGTAGCAAGGGCAAACCAAGCAGACGATGAAGATCTTGGTTGGGGAGATGAAGATGAAGGTATTTTATCAATTTCTTTTGTATTATGTCTTTCAAATTGTAGTCAAACCAACACTCTTTTTGTTTAAGGAGATACAAAGTAAATAATTAATGTTGTATCCATTTAATTTATCAATAATAAATCCTGTCTTGGTATCTGATAGAGTGAGATTCAATTGAGTGTGGAGAGTTCTTTGAGATTGCAAATTAGTTTTGCTTTACTTTGCACTCTGTTTGAGTTAGGAAAATCCTGCCACCTTTGGTTTAAATTAGGTACTAAACTGAAATGTCCTGTTGCCCATGTTTTCCTGTGCATCAGAGAGTTTGCTTGTTTTTCCTCTTAGTTTACATCGACTCTTTATAATATTTTATATTTTTCTACTTGGCTTTTGGGACCTTTATTTTTTTGACACTCACTCATACTTCGTTTCATTTCTCAGTTGTAGATTTTATATGGATTGCTGTTATTTTACTTAACTGAAATCAAACCAGTCTATTTGGCTTTGAAGCAATTTTCAAGGCATTTGTAGTAGTAATTTGGTTCTAGAAACTTTCTTTACTTGGACTTAGGGAGTTCTCACCTTGAAACCAGAATACCAAGCTGACATGCTTGTGTTTGTTCTCAAACTGGTGAGGTAGAGTATTTCTGGGCTTTTCACTCACTAAACTTGTTTACATCATGTGTTCATGTGAGTAGTAAACACCAGAAACATGGTTGCGTACAAAAATGGTTTTTCGCATAATGTTTCATACTTGGGATAAGGCCATTGAATTTTATCTTGAAGTTTGCCCTAGATTGTTTGAATAGGTTGCTTGAAAATTTCAGTGAGCTAACTTGTATGAAGGTTAGGGGGTAGGAGGGGAAGAGCAGGGTCTGCCTACCCTTCCCTCCTACTATATTCAAGCCCAAGCCTCCTCAGCGTTTGCTTTATTAATACTCATTCCACCTATGAAATGATAACCGTTGTTTCTCATCACAAATTACAGCTTAGTATTATTTCCTTTTAGATTTGTGGGATTTAGATGAGCCCTTAGTAGAAATTCAACAAACAAGTAAACATGAACATAACAAAGACGCCCTCCCTGATGAAAATCCTTTAAAAAGTATTGAAAAAGAACGTGCGAAGGCCGAGAAGTCGGGTGAAGTCACAACAGATGTTAAAGAGCAAGTGAACCTGTTAGGTGCTCTAGTGGAAGAACATGGAAAAACTGTTACCACGTTCTTGCCTCGAAGTGAGAAACTTCGTGGAGAGAAGAGTTTAGAGTCGGTGGACAAGGAAAGGTCGCAGAAAATTTCCCTTCGCAAACCAGATGAGGAACCTTCACAAAGAACTAAACAGACTGAACCAAATGATCAAGAGATATCTAACGATCAGCCTGAACCTGCTTCTTCAGAGCCGTCAGGAGCGCAATCTGAAAGTATGGCAAGCGGTGAAACGGCTGATGATGCGCTTCAAACAACTTTACATAAACGTGACAACAGCAGCGGCTCTGGTGACAGTTCGTGGTCAAAACTAAGTGATGAAGACCTCAAGACTGATGTTGATAAAGAAGGTAACAAATAATAATAATAATAATAATGATAATAATAATAATAATAATAATAATAGTAATAATAATAATAATAATAATAATAATATTACTACTACCAATAATATATTTAACCAGAGTAAACCCGTCAGCTGAAGGTGTTATAAATGGGTGCCCTGGGAAACTAAAAAATTAGCAGTCAAAGGAAAAATAACCATAACAGATGAACCATTAGAAAAATGTTTAAAAAAATCAGAAAAAAGGTACATGTATTATGTTGTTACTTAAGACCATAAGAAAAGGTGGCTCATCCTCGGTGTAAAAACCTGTGAAGCTCACGAGTGACGTAAAACAAAGACAACAAAACATTATAAACTATAGCGTACAGCAAAACAATACCTCATGAAACAAAGAAAACCTCGTCAGGTTTTTTCAGCGAGGATGACCCGAAAAGGTACTGTTTTGATTTATGTATAAAATTCCAAGTCAAGCCACCCATTTTTACAATACATTGCCTTGGGGATAAGTTTAAGTTCGATGTCACTTCGTAGTAGAACGATATGACTATATTTCGGATCTTGGAACGAAATGACTATGGAACTAAGTGACCGTGAATCGTTTGGTTCATTGATCGAGTCGATATGTCGTTGATATATTTTGGAAGGGAATAGGAATCAGTCTTAACTAAGTAAACCAGCTTTTCAGAGTCTGACGTCAGAAATATTTTGGTTTTAGAATTTGACCGTTGTAAGGTAATGCGGTTTTTCTCTACTCAGCTGTTACTAAAGAAATTGGATCTGGATCTGGCGGGAGCTCCAACTCCTCCGGCAGTGGAGTACTGGTGCCTAATGTGAATGACAAAGATGTGGATTGGGACGATGTTGATGATGATCTCGATTTTAATGAAGAGATGTCCGAAGAGGAAGTCAAAAGAATCATGGAAAGTATGGCGAATAAAAAACAAACTGCTGATGATGGTGCTGCAGATCTTGATGTGAGTCAGTAGTTTAAAGTGGTTCTTTTAAAATCTCACTTAACAGCACTGTACTATGTATTTTTTGTTTTGTTTTGTTTTGTCTAGACGTTCGACCGTTCATTTGATGGGAGTAAGCATCCTTATTATCCAACTACACTTCTTAGAGTACGAATAACGCCATAGACGAGTACAAATATCACGCGGTATTTGTACTCTAGAGTACCGGTTAAACAGGTTTTCTCGCATCGCGCATGCGAACAATTGGACTGTACGTATGATGCACGATCCTTCGCAGTAGATAGCGCTATTTATGCAATAGCGAAAATCAGACCTTAAAAAAATCAGGCCTGTACGGGATTCGAACCACTGACCGCTGCGATACTAGTGCAGCGCTCTACCAATTGAGCTAACAAGCCAACTGGGAGCAGGCCGTTAAGTTGATTCGTAATAAACCCGTGATGATAAATCAGATACAATGAATATATGAAGTTCATATATTTTGAACTGCGGTATTAAATACGTATGATGCACGATCCTTCGCAGTAGATAGCGCTATTTATGCAATAGCGAAAATCAGACCTTAAAAAAATCAGGCCTGTACGGGATTCGAACCACTGACC